TTTAAATTTGAATTTGAACACATCTAGATTTATCCATTTAAACTTATTTGATAAGTTGTTCAATTTAGAATTCAAATTAATTTAAGTTTGACTTAAATTGGAATTTAAATTTGAGTCAAAATTGGACTACAGGATAAAGGATGATTTTCTCTTCCTTCCCTATCTGATATTGGCGCCACACAGGGATGAGAATCCCCATCTTGGCCGGCCACACTAAGGGATAAGGGATAGAGGAGATTTCGTTTCGAAATTCAAATTAGAGATAGAGATTTGATTCCTTCTAGAAGTTTGACTTCTACTCTATAAATAAGAGAATAGTAGAAAAATTTTGTGACAATTTTTGAGACAATTTTCGGAATTAATTTTTGCCCTAATTTTAGAGGTGGCCGAAATTCCCTAATAGAGAGAAGGAAAAATTTTTCTCCAAAAAATTCCACATCGTGCATGCGATGGTGTTTATGAAAATTTGAGTGTTTATTGTAGCCCGTTTTGTCTCATGTGTGCCTACACACACGTCTTCGTGGATTCTAGGAATTGACGTGGAAGACATTGGTTTTTGAAACACAAAGATTGGAGCAATGACTGTTCGTGGTCAAAGAACTCAAGTTATCATCCGAGTCAGCTTCCAGGTATTTTTCCTGATTGAGTTATTGATATATATAAGTTAATGAGATTAATTTATTCGTGCATAAATTAATATAATCTATAGGGTATCTCAAAGGTTTTATGAAAATTTTTGTTAAACACGATCCTCCTCCTCCCCGCACCACGCTTCCGCATCTGAATTCGATTCGGAGACTAACACAAATTTCACTACCATATAACATAGCTGGGTGGATTACAGTCCTATAGAACTTTTCTTTCAACTTAATAAGCATCTTGCCATCACATAAAACTCCCGTAGCATTCTTCCAATTAACCCACCCTGCCTTAATCGTATGTTGAATATCCTCTTCTATATCTCCTTCGAACTGTACTATAGACCCAAGGTACCTAAACTTCCTAGAAGCCTCAATCTCCACACCATCTAAAGAAATCCCATCACTCTAATTACTTGAGTTACTAAACCTACAATGCATGTATTCAGTTTTCGTCATACTTAACTTAAATCCATTCATCTCGAGAGTCTGTTTCCACAGTTCTAACTTACGGTTAACTCATTCCCTATGTTCATCAACTAAAACTATATCGTTCGCAAAAAGCGTATACCAAAGAACTCTATCTTGGATTTCTCTTGTCAGCTCATCCACCACAATGGTGAAAAGATAAGGACTAAGAGCATATCATTGATGAAGGTCGATCTGAATGGGAAACTCTGCTGTGTAGCCTCCAGCAATTCTCATACTCATGACCACCCCATCGTACACGTCCTTAATTACCTTGATATACCTCACATGCACTCCTTTCTTTTCTAGCACCCACCATAAAACTTCCCTTGGCACCCTATCATATGCCTTTTCAAAATCTATAAAGACCATATGTAGGTCCGTCTTAGCTTTTTTGTACCTTTCCATCAACATCCTAAGAAGAAAATGGCTTCCGTGGTTGATCTACCTAGCATGAAGTCAAATTGGTTACCTGAGATGGTAGTTATGACCCTTAATCTCCTTTTAATAACACTCTCCTAAAGTTTCATAGTGTGGCTTATTAACTTTATGCCCCTATAATTATTACAATTCAACACATCTCCTTTATTCTTGAAGATAGAGACAAGAATACGTTTCCTCCATGCATCAGGCATATGCTTCTTCTTTAGTATCTCATTAAAAAGCTTAGTGAGCCACACAATTTCAACATCTTCTAATGCCATACAAACCTCTATTGGAATATCATCTGGCCCACGTGACTTCCTCTTTTTCATTTTTCATAGTGCAGTTTTAACTTCCGAAACTCTAATTCCTCTTATATACATCACATTAGGTTCTCCTTATGACCTAAGACCGTCAAACTCTATCGCATGATCATCATTATAAAGCTTCTCAAAGTAACTCCTTCACCTTTCCCTAATGTCTTTATCTTTTATCAGAACCTGATCCGTATCATCCTTAACACACCTCACTTTATTTAGGTCCCGCCACTCTTTCTCTTATCCTATCTAGTTTATTATATATCCTTTTCTCCTTCTCTAGTCCCAAGTTTCCTATATACCTCATCTAAGTAAGTAGAATGAGCCTTACCAACTGCTCGCTTAGCTTCTTTCTTTGCTTCTTTGTACTATTAAAAGTTTCAACATCCTTATACTTTGGTAAATCTCAATATAAATCCCTTTTGGTCCTAATAACCTTTTGAACTTCCTCCACTACCAGGTTTCTTTCCCTGGGGGGCCTTTACCTCTAGATTTCCTTAGTACCTCCTTTGCCACTTTTCTAATGCAACTGGCCATGGCATCCCACATAGTATTTGCATCGCCTATATATGACCAAATAGCCTCATCTAACAACTTCTCTTTAAAGTGTAATTGCTTTATTTCCTTCAAATGCCACCAACGAGTTCCTGGGAGGTGGTTTATCTTAGTCCTTCTACAGCAAAGCTTAATGCTCACATCTAAGATCACTAACATATGTTAGGTGGCTAGTACTTCTCCAGGCATTACTTTACAATTCTTACATAGAGAATGTTCTCTATACCTTGTGAGAAAATAATCTATCTGGCTCAAGTTCCTCCCATTCTTAAAAGTGATCAAGTGAGAATCTCTTTTCTTGAAAAAATGTGTTTGTTATAATAAAATCATGTCCCAACGTAAATTCTAAAATATATTTTCCTTCTTCGTTTCAAGCTCTAAAACCAAAACCACCGTGGATCCTTTCGAAGTTTTCCCTATCCTTACCAACATGCCCATAGAAATCTCATCTAACGAAAATGTTATCCTCATTGCCTATACGACACACTAAGTCATTCATGTCTTCCCAAAACTTGACTTTAGTTTCTACATCCAATCCTATTTGTGGAGCGTAAGCACTAATTACATAGATGAACTTATTTCCTAGTACCAATTTGAGCATAATAATTCTATCCCCTATTCGCTTAATCTCAACTACGCCATCCTTCACAGTTTTGTCCACTAGAATACCAACTCCATTGCAATTCCTTTCCCAACCTGTATACCATAACTCGTGTCCTAAATTTTCAATCTCCTTTGCTTTCTCTCCTGTCTACTTCGTTTCCTGTAAGCATAAAATGTTAATTCTTCTTCTTATCATAACATCTACTAACTTTATAGATTTACCAGTTAAAGAACCTACATTCCAACTAACTAAACGAATTTTTCTATCATGGGCTAGCTATGTCTCTTGTACACGTCCATGAATGTGCAAGGACCCCTTGCATATTTTTCACCATATCCGGGGCCTAACATGGGTCATGGGCTCACTTTTTCCCCCGCACACGTCCATGAATGTGCGAAGACCCCCTTGCCTATTTAACACTATACCCAGGGCCCGACATAGCGCGCCGCACGTAGGGAACGCCCCAACAGATTCTATGTAAGTGAAATCCATGAGAGTGACTTATTTTTACGCTGGCTGTCAACCTACCGTAACCCTCCTCCTTTACCCGGGCTTGGGACCGGCTATACAAATGCATAGACGGAGTTTTTAAAATCTTTTTACATTATAAATTTTATTAGAAGTCATATTTTGTGGTTATGGTTAGAAACGTTTCTTTGAGGGTTAAAACTCTTTCAAAAAATTGTCCAACAACCTTTTGATCACTCAGCTGTAAGCCAAAAAGTAACTTGGACAAAGCAATGCCAAATATAGAGTCCAATGACATGATAGATCTCAACTTTTGATACTATTACACATCAATTTAAGCTTGATTTAAACACTTACGAAGTTTGAATAGCACGATCAATGGAATGCCCGTTCTTCTCGATGAAGCATTGGACAGCTCGCGATTCGCTTCCCAGTCGACGGGTTGTCGTGTTTAAAGTCACAGCCATGCTTGGATCATATGGGACCAAGAGGTACTGCATTTGTGTCATTGCATTCACAACTTTTCTAATGCTTCTTCGAGCGTCCCCGCCTACACTGAAAAGGGTTCCCTTCAATTTATCCATTCTCCTTACAGAGCTTTGGTTTGCTAAGAGGACAACACTTGATGTAACTCTTCAAATCCACCAAGCACATATATGAAGCCAAACATAATGAAGAGTCAGGTAAAATCCCAATAAGGAATTTCACACTTTTTTTAGTTAACAAACTACACCACCAAAAAAAAAAAAAAAAAAAAAAAAAAAAAAGAAAAAACAACAACAACAACAACAAAGCAATAATATTTTTCTTGTATGAGTCCATATAATTGTTATGGGACAAGATCTAATTTGCTACTTCCATAAAAATTAAAAAATTAAAAAATTAAAAAAAAACTGTGTTTTGTCGTTGGCACTATATGTAAGAAAGCATCAAATGATTTTAAGACTACATATGCAAAAGAAAAAAAAAAAAAAAAAAAAAAACACACACACACACACACACACACAAAATAATAATAAATAATAAATATAAATTAAAAAAAAAAAACAAGAGAATTGAAGCAAAGGAAAGTCTTACATGGCAAGAAAGGTAAAGAAAATGACCATCAAGAACATTAGCAAATAGTGGTGATCCAAGAAATCTTTAATTGGCCAACTGCTTATGCTTTGATGCTTCAAAATCATGAAAACTCCGAAACCAATCCCACATAACAACCAAACTCCTGCAATTGCATATCCATGCACTCCTGTAAATGCCGTAGACTGAAAAATATGAGGAAAAAAAACACATCAAATCAATCCCTACTTTTTTAAGTTTTAACTCACCAAAGGTCTCTTTTTATTTTATGAACCAAAAGTTATTTTTATGTTCATATTATAGAGGATAAACATTTCTCATGTGGGTCATATTGTTCTTACTTCTTTTTTTTTGAAAAAAAAAAGTTATAATTATGTAAAAGTGCAGTGACAATTATATTGAAGGGTGAAGAAATAATTAAGCGTACAGCCCAATAATGCTCATTTCTGACATCGTAAACTCCATTGTAGTACTTGAAACTTCTCAGAGGATCCAATCTTCGGTAGCTCGGCCCTTGATCCGACGACGACGACGATGACGACGCGATAACTTGCCGATTTTGTGAAACCAAAGACGCCGAAAGCAAGAAGAAAAGAAGTGGAAGAAAATAAACCGATCCCTTGAGAGTACTAGACATTGCTCCTTAAGCTATTACGAGTGTGTCTATAAAATGAAAATGAGTTTTGTATTTGATATTATGTCAATTTCCTATAGCTTATGAGTGAGCCTAACGAAAGAGGGCGTTACAAATTCTTGGTGTTAGTGATGAAGGTAAGTATAGAATAGCTTGTGGCTATGGTTTTGTGGAATTTTTTGTTCTCTTGAAGAAAGGGAAAAAGAGTAAAAAAAATGTGTTACAAATGGAGGTAACGAATCAAGAGCCGATATTTCTGGTTTGCCCATATTCATGGAATTTGACCACTTTTTCTTACTTTTTGATCCGTGTCTTTCAATCTAAGCCTCTTTTCAATCTCAATAAAACTGCCCATCTTTTTTTTTCTTTTTTTTTTTTCTGTCCTTGCCCAATTTGTGATGCCATTTGTCAACAGAAGAACACACAGGTTTGATTGTTTTTGCCGTTTGATTACAGAAAGGAGGGGATTTATATATGTGTATCTAAAACAAAATCTACCGTATGTAAATTGCAATGGCTATTCAGTAGGCAAATTTATATATGGGCTTTTTTGGGTCCTGCAAATGTATGTCCAGAGGCACGACCCAATTGGAATAAAAGGGAAATAGTAGAAAATAAGCCCATATGAAAAACTTAAGAAAATATATAGGTCAATTTTTAGTTATAAAAATTAATAGGTCATAACTTGTCAAGTTATGGTTCATAATCAGATAAATTATGGATAAATTTGTCAAGTTATGGTTCATAATCAGACAAATTATGAACAATAACTTTTCAAGTTATGGTTCATAACCAGGCAAGTTATGGACGAAAATAGTAATTTGGCCTATTTATTAACTTATGTAAACTGTTGGCCTATTTATTAACTTATGTAAACTATTGGCCTATTAATTTTAATTCATCTCAAATCTTGACATATTTTCCTTTTTCTCCATATTATACAATACTACTAAAGGAGGTGGGAAAGTCATTGTTCTTTGAACAGTGGTTTTCCAATTTTACCCTTCCCTTTTGATGTTTCACTTCTTTTAATACCCAGTGTGTCCCTATCCCTCTGTGAAATGTCTAATTTGCCCCTCCTTTCTCTTCTCTTTTTGCTTTGCTAGGCAAGGGCTTTTTGTCTTCTCACTTCTCTTCTCCTCTCCTTCTCCGTAGAAGCTCGTAGGTTTTTCTCAGATAAAAAAAAAGTCACAGTCTCACCGACTCTCACTCTGGCCACACTCTCTTTGTAGTACTTTCGTACAATCATTCACTATGGCCGCCTCTCTTTCTACTGTTCTCTCTTCTCGGTATCTTTGGATTTCGACAATCTCTACGTGGGTTTGTGAGAGGAGACCAGCCATTACCAAAGACAAAGTGTTGTGGGTGTGAGTAGTGCTGGAACTTCGGGTCGGCGGGCCGCCCGAAGCCCAAATTTTTTCGGGCTCGGGCGAGCCGGCCTAATTCCCGCCCGCCCAAGCAAGAAATTCAGGTTCAGGCTCGGGCAGCCCGAATTTGACATGTCCACCTTTGCCCGCTGCCGTCCGCCGGGATTTTTTTGAATTTTTCCGACCAAGCCCGAACTGCCCGACCCGAAAATTGGGTGTGCCCAAATTGCCCGACCCGAAGCTCGAATTTTTGAATTTTTTTGAATTTTGCCCGAATTTTTCCCGCCTGCCCGAATTGCCCGACCCGCCCGAGGTGCCCGAATACCCGAAAATGGCTAGTTTTTTGAATTTTGCCCGAAAACCCGAGTTGCCCGAAAACGGCTATTTTTTGAATTTTTACCCGAATTCTACCCGAAAACCCGAGTTCGTGTGTTCATTTCAAATTGTAATATATATATATATATATATAAATTGTAATACTAATATATATATATATAAATAACTTAATATTAAAAAAAAGTTTAAAAAATTCAGGTAATTCGGGCGGGCTCGGGCCGCCGAATACAAGCCCGCGGCCCGTTCAAGGTGAAATTCAGGCTCGGGCGGATCGGGCTCGGGGTCGGACAAATCCTCGGGCTTTTCGGGCGGTCGCGGGCGGCCCGTCCAAAGTTCCAGCACTAGGTGTGAGCCCTTCATCACATGATTTCTGTGTTTTTTTGTTTTTGTTTGGAAAAGCAAGTTTTTTTCTCTTTTTTTGTACATGAAGGAAATTTTGGTGGGTTCAATATGTGCCCTAGCCGCCCTTTCACTCTTCGATTTTGAGATTGTCCCTCGATCCCTGACGCTTTCCCTCTTTCGCGAGTGCATAACATAAGAAGGTTGGTAGGAAATAACTAATTTTTTTCTTGATGATTATGCTTTTACTTCTTTCTAATGGGTATGAGTTTTTCCTATTTTTATGATGATCTTTTCTTTATAAGCCTTCATTTTTTGTTGTTATCTGACATTTGTCGACCTCTATTTATGAAAATACTTCAATTATGGTTCTCATGTTTTATATTGTGATGGTTTTATCTGACTATGCTTCATAAATATGAGAAATTAGAATATTATTGATGTACGATGGTTATTTTCGAAGTTATTAATTTGATGCTTTGATATTAGAAGGGTCATAGCTAATTTTTTTTTTTTTTTATTGTTACATGAAAAAAAATCTTCTGAATTTATGAGCAAAAAAAATAGACCTTATTACTCCTAACTTCAATTCCATCATAAAAGAAATTATGAATAATTTCTCAGCTCCAATTGCTTGAAAAGCTTATCAAGTTCGTCAACAGTTGCAGTCATGGGTAGATTTACAACAAAAAAGGCATAAGCCTTAACTGCAAAGATAAAACAGAATATCGTAAAAGGAAATTATGAATAATTTCTCAGCTCCAATAAGTAAGCGAAATAGGTGAATTAGGGTTTAGTTGGCAAAAGGTTTTGTTCTTTTCCAGTTAAAGGTTGGAAATTTCTTGGGATTTAGGTTTCAAATTCAATTTTAATTTTCGAAGGTAGGCGGGAGAATTTAGAAAGTTAAATTTGTTTGGCTATGGATTTCAAATCTGTTGAACTTGATTTTAGTTAGGAGAATTCTGTTGAGCTGAGATAATATTCTTTCTTAACTTTTTTTCTTTTCAATTTTGGTTATTAAATCACATCCAGTCATTATTTCAGATGATTTTGATTTTTTTTCGGTTCGAATTTTGATGTTCTGTTGTTTTAGTGTTGGTTTACTTTTTTAGTGTTGCTTTGTGTGTATATAGACATTTATGCGTTTAATAAATAACTTTATCAAATGAACACACTTTCTATTAATTTTTAATTAATATAAAATTATAAATTTTCTATAAAATTACTTATCAATTAATTTCAGACATTAATAGATAACTTATCAATTGAACACACTTTCTATTAAATAGGTAAATATACATCCATGCAATAGTACGGGTAACACACTAGTTCCTATTATTTGAGGTGTAACATGTTTGAAAAAATGAGAATTTATTTTTGAGTGTATGAGTATATTTACTTCTTACTCTTGATAAATACAATTTTGTTAGTATAATTATTTGACTAAAAAATTATGAATCAAGAATAAAGGATAAAAAATCCGCACTTTTAATAGTATTTATCAAGATTACTCTACATATTTCATGTCTTTATCACAAAAAAGGGGAAAAAAATTTTCATCTCGAATAAAAAAAATGAGATCCATGTTCCCCTGCATCCGGTTTCCAATATTTCCAAGTAGTGATGGATTCAATAATTTTTTAAATAGGGCATTGTAAAAATATATATATATATATATCTTTTAAATATGTAAGAGGAAATTATAATTAATTTCAAGATTACTCTACATATTTCATGTCTTTATTCACAAAAAAGGGGAAAAAATTTTCATCTCGAATAAAAAAAATGAGATCCATGTTCCCCTGCATCCGGTTTCCAATATTTCCAAGTAGTGATGGATTCAATAATTTTTTAAATAGGGCATTGTAAAAAAAAATATATATATATATATATATTTTAAATATGTAAGAGGAAATTAGAATTAATTTTATTTTTAACCCCCAACTATAGCTTGTATCTGATTTTTAGAACATTACATAACGAGTTTTTAATCTAACAACATCGTCCTAAAAAAAATGATTTTCATTTCAGAAAAAAAAAATCCATTCTAAATTAGTCATTTTATCCATTCAAACTGTTACAAACTCGGCGCAAAACAAAAGACATGACTTATTATTTAATGCGTAAAATCACAAGAACTAACTCCTGCTAAACCAAGCATACGTGTCCATTTAGAGTCCGTTTAGTTCATGAATTAGAATTATGAGATTAGAACTATTTTTAATTTACGTGTATTTTTTATGAGAAAAAATATTGTAGCGAACCATAAATCATGATTTAAATCAGAGAACGAATTCTCCAACCAAACAGACTCTTAGATTTCAACAGCCAAATAGGTAGAATAGAAGAACTAATTTAAGACAAAAGAAACCTTTTTATCTGGCCTCTATACCAGTTACCGAATGGCTTTGCTACTTTCAATCAGAAAGGTAGAACAATCTAATAGATCCTCATTACCAGTATGCGGAAATTAGTTTAGAGTTTTTTTAATGGAAAAGATGTAAATAATACTGATATTTGATCTCATATTATTTGATTATGTGGTTGATTCCATGGTCCTTCGCACTGACATATAAAATGGAATACAATTAGACTTTGTTTAGTTCATTGATTAAAAAGGTTTGAAACACATGATCAAGATCTCAAACAAGTTTAGTTCATGGATTAAAAAGGTTTGAAACACATGATCAAGATCTCAAACAAGTGATTAGCAAAAAAAAAAAAAAAAAATCTCAAACAAGTATTTGGTTGGAAAAAGTAAAAGTGTGGTTACTCTTCATGTGACCTTTAAACAATTTAAAATAAAAGTTTTATAAAATCAACCACGTGTTTAAACCAAAAAAAAGATTTAAATCCACAGAGTTTTGAACGCGTGAACTAAATGGCACCTTAACTATTGGCCCTTTTACACTACTTAACTTTTCACTCATTGGTAATAGTTGTTTTGATAATATCATTGTATTGAAATGTACCTTGGTTTTTAT